TTAAATCTTGGTACAATTTTATAGATGAACTCCTAGATTAAGCTCATTGGAGCCAAAGAATTTTAATACTGATTTTCAGGTTCAACACTCTAATTTTAATGGTCAAGGACTCTTTGCTCAGTTCAGTGTCCTGGATCATTTACCCAATGTTTTCATGTGGTAGTTTCATAGTTTCAGGTCTTAGATTTAAGCTTTTAATCCATTTAGATTTGATTTTTTTTATATATTACATAACCCCTTTGAGGCTATTTTCGAGATGCTGTAGGTGTTCTTTACTGCTTTTTATTCTTTTTTTTTTTTTGTTTCTTCTTACTGTGCATTTTCAAATAGCCTGCCTTCAAGCTCACCAATTATTTCTTCTGTTTGATGAATTCTGCTACTAATGCGTTCCTCAGTATATAAATTGCATTTTTCAACTCCAGAAACTTTTGTTGATTCTTTTTAATTATTTCATTCTCTTTGTTAAATTTGTCTGATGTAAGTCTGAATTCCTTCTTTGTGTTATCTTGAATTTCTTTGAGTTTTCTCAAAACTACAATTTGGAATTCTCTGTCTGAAAGGTCCATTATCTTTGTTTCTCCAAAATTGGTCCTTGGTGTCTGATTTAGTTCATTGCATGAGGTCATGTTTTCCTGGATGGTCTTGACGCTCATGGATGTTTGTCTGTGTCTGGACATTGAAGAGTTTGTAATTTATTGTAGTCTTCAGAGTCTAGGCCCATTTGGACCCAGACTTCTTGGGAAGGCTTTCTACATATTCAAAAGAACTTGGGTGTTGTGATCTAAGCCATATCTGTATTAAGGGGCACCCTACACCAAGTAAGGCTGTGGTTCTTGCAGACTCACAGAGGTACTTCCTTGTTAATCTTGGATAAGATCCAGAGGAATTCTCTGAATTTCCAGACAGAGACTCTTGTTCTCTACCTTCACTTTCTTCCAAACATATCCTGTTTTATGTTCTGAGTCACCTGGAGCTGTGGGTGGGGTGACACAAGTAGCCTGTGGCCACCGCCACTGGGACTGCACTGGGTCACACATAAAGCAAACACAGCACTGGGGTTCACCCAATACCTGGCTACTGTCTATACTTGCAGGCTGGCATACTTCAATGAGCAGGTGGTGAAGCCAGCCAGGCTATGTCCTTTCCTTCAGGGTGGTAAGTTCTCCAAGGTAGGTCCAGAGGTGTCCTGGTGGGTCCAGAGTTCTCCCTAGGTGGGTCCAGAGGTGCTGTGTGGGAGTCAGAGACTAGAGTCAAAAACCTTAGAAGTCTACCTTGTATTCTATTGTACTGTGGCTGAGCTGGCATTCAAACCACAAGAAACAGTTATTTTCCCTCTTTTCTCTTCATTCCAAAGGCAGAGGTCCCTCACCCTGTGGCCACCACTGCCACAGGCCTATAGGAAATACTGCCAGACTACTACCTATGTTCACTTGAGACCCTGGGTGTCTTAAGTCAGCTTGCGGTGAATGCTGCCTGGACTGGGATTCAGCCTTCAGGGCACTGGGCTCCCATCTGGTCCAGAATAGGTCCAAAAATGTCCAAGCATCAAGGCCTGGAATCAGAGATCCTAAAAGCCTACTTTGTGCTGTATTTCCTTGTGGCTGAGCTGGTACTTAACATGGAAGACAAAGTCCCTTTACTTTTCCCTTAGCTTTTCTCAAGCAGAAAGTGTTTTTCCCTGTAGCCACTGCAGCTGGGAATGTGCTGGGTCTCACCTGAAGCTAGAAAGTCTCAGGCTCAACCAAGGCCCACGGTATTCTACCTGGGTATTGCCACTGGTTATTCAAGCTTTCAAGGGCTTTTTAGTCAGTGGTGATGGGTCTTGCTGTGACTGGATCCTTCTCTTCAAGGCAGTGGGTTCCCTTCTGGTCCAGGTTGTGTCTAGAAATGTCCTGGAGCTAGGTCCTGGAAAGGGAGCCTCATAACTCTGACTGGTGCCCTATCTTATTATGGCTGAGCTGGTATCCAAGATGCAAAACAAAGTCTTCTTTACTCTTTCTTTTCCTTTCCCAAGTGGAAGGAGGCAGTCCCTTTTGAACCCATGAGCTGTGCTGCCAGGGGTTGTGGTGAGGTGGTACATACACTCCCTTAGTCAGCCACGCTGATTTCTCAGTAGGTTTTGCATCACCCAGGTCCACTGCTTGTAAGCCCAGCACAGCACTGTGACTCATGTAGGAGTTGCAGTCCTTGTGGCCTATACTGCATTTAAGGTTTATTTAGAGCCTCAGAGGATTTTAGCTCACTGCGGTGAGGCATAGAGGAAGTCAACTTCTGACTCCTAGGATAGGGAACTTCCCTCTGGCTTGGACTAGATTAAATATTCCCTTTATGCACAGGCATCAGCGGGATTTGGGCCAGTTTTGCTTTCTGCTGTGATAGGGCAGCATGGAGTTCAATGCAATGTCTCACAGTTGCTGTGCTCTCTTTTCCAAGGGTACAAATTCTTACTGCATGCCACATGGCTGCTGCTGGGGATGGGATGGGGGTCTCCATGGCAATGCAAGAATGTCTTTCCTACACTATTCAGTGCCTCTTTCAGCTAGATGAAGTTAAAATCAGATATGGTAAGAGCTTTCCAGATTTTTGTTTCATATGAAATGATTATTTTTCTGTGTAGATAATTGTTATATTGGTGTCCTTCTGGGGTGATAATCAGTGAAGGCTTCTATTTGACCATGCTGTTCCACCTTGTGTAGTTTTTTATTATGAAGAGACTGGCTCACAGTAGTATATAGAATTGTTTTTCCCAATAGTCATGATTAGTTTGCACTCATGTAGCCAATGCTTTTTTTTTTAATATCTCATGTCCAGTCTGTAATATCAAAGGTATATTCTCTAGGAGACAACCTGTGAATAAATGGCCCATCCAGGGTAGAACTTCTGTGTTTTAAGTAATCATGTGAAAAATACAAAACTAGCATGATTACTAGTAATAGCAGTATTCTAAGCCATTCCAGAGCAGTATTTTAATTTTAGATAAAGAGAAAGAAATTAAGAGAAGAGCTAGCTATATTTTAAAATTTTATTAATTTGAACAATGAGTGTTAGTACCTAGATACCAATGGTCATACCAATAACTGTAAAATAAATCCAAGGACAAAGAGATTTATTATGAGAAGTCCATGACATAAAGACCCATTTTGCATTATTTCAGCCTGGAACACAAACCTAGACAAAGACACATGAACTGGAAACTTAAAATGTCTTACTTTTAAAAAATATTCTAGAAGGGTCACACTCCCAGTTTGAGTTAATATTTCTACTTTGAAATTGTGGAGTAATGAAATCAAAAGGCAATGTTTTGCCTCTTAACAGTTGTTTAGAGGCAAAGTTAAAAAAGAAATCCTCTTGCATTTTGTTCCCTCTGGGACTCTGAGTTCAAAAATAAAAGGAATACTCAGGTTAAATTTTTATTTCTTCCAAGAAAAATATTACATGCATATGAAGAAAAACTGTAATCTACAATTACTGGGTTCATTTTAATTTGTCTAAGAGTGCACAGTGAAATGTTTAAAAAAATCTAAACTAATATGAAAGAAATAAATGACAGAAACTAAGCAGGTATTATAGAGAAATTATTCTGAAATACACAGAACGTAACGTCAGTTATTTACTGTGTTGATACCTAAGACATAGCTGTAAGAAATTATCCCAAGAAAAGAGTATCTTTCAACATGAGCAAGATGTTAGATGAGGAGGGTTGAAATTACAAAGGGGAGAGAGATACTGTTCATGTAAGAGGGCCATGTTTTTGAAGCTCTCCTCACTTTAGGTTTCCTTTGTAGGTGCCAGAGGCCATTTGGTTGTTTGTACACATTATTTTTAAGAAAAGCTTTTTGAAAGAAAAATAAAATGGAATTACATATACAGTAGATAAATTTTTGTACAAACTGAAATGAGTAAACTGATCTGGAAAAGCTCATTCTTTTTGTTTTCAAATACTAGAAATCATGGTAAATATTAACCGTATGTAGATGTGGCCTAGTATTGTCAGTATTAGAGAATAAGCACTATTGAAATGGAATCTATTTAGTACACTGCATTTTTAAAACCTGAATGATCATTGTTAAGTGAGTTTTTTGTAGCTAAGTATTTTTAAGATTGTTGAGTGATTTTTAAAGGAAATGTCCATGTGTTGCTAGCAGTACTATGTGAGTAGTCATAAATGGAACAAATAATAATGATTGGCATAATCAGTGTGACTCATTTATATTTGATAAAAACCTCTCCAAGATGCATTAGGCACACACCAACTGTGGAAAAAGGACTGAATGTGATTCCTTTTAACTTCACAAATTTATGAAAATTCTAACTTATTTAGTTGCAAAATGGTAGTAGAAAAAATCATAATAAAAATAATTACAGTAAAATATAGACATAGTATTTGTTAGCTTCACGTAAATTGGTCAGAAACAGCCTTTTTTGTGTCACTCAATAAATTACAGAATAGTATTAATATAATCCTCATCCTTTAATTGCACACATATATAAAATGTCTTATCGGGGAAAGAACACACAGAGAAAGCAAGAGAAGAATAAAGAGAGACAAGAGGGGTTGGAGGAAAGGTAGATATATGTTGGAAAATTATTGCACTTTCTAGAAGAGATATCATTTCTGGGACAAAAGAAGCTTTGAGTGGATTATAGAACATATCAGAGGCATTCTTTTCAATAAAGGACAAAGAAAGGTAGATTTGCAAAAATACAATCAACTGAAATAGTGAAATTCAGTGAAATGTCAGCAATTTCAGCAGAGTAATTAAGAATACTTTACAAAAAAAAGCTAATTTTTAAGAAATCATTCTGTAAATCATTTAAGAAATCAAATAGTTACTTCTGTAAAGAAGTAACTATTCTATAACAAACTGATAAAGTATGTGGACAGTAGGTTATACAAAACCCTAAGAAAAAAAGAAAAAAAATTAAACAAAACATTAAAGAGTAGGAGTAAAGCATCAGATCTTATCATATTAACATGCCATGACTAGATTGTTTTTCTTTCTGGTATACCATACCTATACAAACGCTAGGCAAACAACATGGAACAGTACCTTTCTTTTGGCCTTTAGCTGCTCATGATACTTGTCACAGGTATCTCCTGGGATTTCTCCGCCCCAGAGAGTAATTCCAACAATGGTGTATGTGATACCCATGATGAGCAATGGGAAACAGTACACCAGTATAATGACGACAACATGGTAACTACAATTAATAAGAAAAACACATGCTGAAGAACTTTTTGGAAAGAAATACTAGGGACTGAATTTGCTCAGCTTTAAATAATAATTAAAACCTCCAAGAATTATCTCTACATTGTCTTTATACGTTCATCTCACAATTCCATCAAAATATCATGCTATTGTCACTTGTATTTATGTTTCAAATTCTGCCAGTTGATGTTTGTCAATGTTTACTTGATATATGAAAACTATAGTTGAGTTGAAGGGGCTCAGTTAAACATGTGTTCTCCTTGTCTAGATGTTCAGGATGAAAGACTTTCTACTGCTTTGTAGTCTGCTTGGTAATTGTTGAGCTAAACTAATTAAATGCATAATTGGAGGAAAGGGAAGGGATGGAATAAACAAGTCAACTGGCATATATTTTCTCCTATGTAGGATTGTCTTCTATACCCCTGCAACATCAGACATATACAAATTGATTTTGATTCAAATGGAGGGAAGAAAGTAAGTAGATACTCTGAGCCATAATGAATCCACAAGTTACTACAATTTTTAAAAAAATCGGGTAAGGACATTTGCATGTAATTTTCCAAAGTCGTGGTGCATTTGATTGCATTGTTAACTTGCTAAAAAATATTGACATAGTAGTCACATAAAAAGTATGCTGCTGTAAATTATCAAATTAAATTCTGGTATTTAGTAGCTTTTGATCAAAATTATAAGAACACAGAGAGAAAAAGGAGAGGAAGCCATACTATAATAGCTCAAATACAATTTCACAAACTTTTTTGTTGTTTTCATTGTCTTGGAAGGCTTTAAAGTAATTAAAAAGTTTGTTATAACAGTCTTATCCATACCAGTGTGCTTTTTAAAAGTGAATCTTAAATATCCTTGCCTTTCTGTTTCTTAGTAGATTACTAAGTATTGATTTAAAGTCAGTGAGGAAGCAATTCAGTCAACAAATAATTTGAAGATGATAACATCATACAATTCCTATGTATTAATAATAATGAATAGAGTATAGTACTCAGTTTACATGAGCTGTCTGATTTCCTAAAATAAGTGCTTCCTAACATTTTGATTCAAAAATCTGAACTTTGCATAGAGCAAAAGTAGATAAAATGACTGCTTTAAAAGACAACCATTATTTGAATCATTTGTTATTTTTAAAGGGAAAAATGATCAGCAAAATGGAAAAATAAGCATTTTATTGAAATTAAATTTTAATGATTAGAATTTAAAAATAAAATGCAACCAGGTACACAATTACATTACTATTGCTTTTTGCTTTATTTAAGGTGGGTTTAAAATATGAACCAAATTTTCCCGTATATTATAGCATTTTTATTTCCTTTTCAATCTAATGTTCGGGTTTTTAAATTCTTTTTGCTTGTCTAGAGACAAGTAGAAGAACACAAACCAAATCAAACCAAAATAAAATTAGATAACCTATGAGGGTGCTCCTTCCCTTCAGCTACGCTTCTTAAAAGAGCAATCAACACTTTTAGGCTTTGATTTCTTCCTTCTCTCTCATTTCTCAATCAATAGCAACCATGATTTTCTTTGCACATTGCTTTTATCTTTTATCACTTTCTTCAGGAAACTCTCCAGTGCCATCCCACATAGACATCCTCATATTTCCAATTAAAAACCTTAGTAACTGACACAAACTTATTGACCACATACATCATACAGTATTACAGTATTTTTATATGTTTCCTTTTCCAAATAATGTATGAACCCTGGGGGAAATGTCTATGTCTTATTTGTTTGGTTGTCGCTCCTAATCTATAGTTTTATAAGTGTTTGATATACTGAATTGAAAATCATAATAGAAAATTAACTTACGTGAAATGTTGTTTGGGACCTTCTGGCCATTGCACAAAGCAGAGAGTACGACTTGGCAGGACTTTGGTTTTGGAATAAAGACATTGAGGGAAGGCAAGTAGAAATGCTAGAATCCAAATACTTCCAATGGCAATCTTGGTTGCTGTGGCAGACAGTCTGGGTTTTAAGGGATCAATAATAGCCATATACCTATATAAAAACAAACAAAACCATTTTGTTGGTTTTCTTTTTAACAGAGTTTAAAATGGAGTTTCAAAGGTGTTTTGGCAGTTACAGTTACTGCTTTTTTGAAAAACCAGTTGATAAGGACTTTGCTTGAGGAGAGGCAGCATAGAATGGTAATCATGGTATAGTCTAGGAATCAGTCAGATTTAGGTTCAAATTCTATTCTGACACTTGTCTAAACTTTTTGAACCTCAGCTTTATTATTCTTTTTTTAAAATTTTTTATTGCATTTTAGGTTTTGGGGTACATGTGCAGAACATGCAAGACAGTTGCATAGGTACACACATGGCAGTATGTTTTGCTTCCTTTCTCCCCTTCACCCACATTTGGCATTTATCCCCAGGCTATCCCGCCCCAGCTCCCCCACCCCCCACTGGCACTCTCCTTTTCCCCCCAATAGACCCCAGTGTTTAGTACTCCCCTCCCTGTGTCCATGTGTTCTCATTTTTCATCACCCGCCTATGAGTGAGAATATGCAGTATTTCATTTTCTGTTCTTGTGTCAGTTTGCTGAGAATGATGTTCTCCAGATTCATCCATGTCCCTACAAACGACACAAACTCATCATTTCTGATTGCTGCATAATATTCCATGGTGTATGTGTGCCATATTTTCCCAATCCAGTCTATCATCAATGGGCATTTGGGTTGGTTCCAGGTCTTTGCTATTGTAAACAGTGCTGCAATGAACATTCATGTGCATGTGTCCTTATAGTAGAACGATTTATAGTCCTTTGGATATATACGCAGTAATGGGATTGCTGGGTCAAATGGAATTTCTATTTCTAAGGCCTTGAGGAATCACCACACTGTCTTCCACAATGGTTGAACTAATTTACACCCCCACCAACAGTGTAAAAGTGTTCCTTTTTCTCCACATCCTCTCCAGCATCTGTTGTCTCCAGATTTTTTAATGATCACCATTCTAACTGGCGTGAGATGGTATCTCAATGTGGTTTTGATTTGCATCTCTCTGATGACCAGTGACGATGAGCATTTTTTCATATGATTGTTGGCCTCATATATGTCTTCTTTTGTATAGTGTCTGTTCATATCCTTTGCCCATTTTTGAATGGGCTTGTTTGTTTTTTTCCTGTAAATATGTTTGAGTTCTTTGTAAATTCTGGATATCAGCCCTTTGTCAGATGGGTAAACTGCAAAAATTTTTTCCCATTCTGTTGGTTGCCGATCCACTCTAGTGACTGTTTCTTTTGCCGTGCAGAAGCTGTGGAGTTTGATTAGGTCCCATTTGTCTATTTTGGCTTTTGTTGCCAATGCTTTTGGTGTTTTGTTCATGAAGTCCTTGCCTACTCCTATGTCCTGGATGGTTTTGCCTAGATTTCCTTCTAGGGTTTTTATGGTGCCAGGTCTTATGTTTAAGTCTTTAATCCATCTGGAGTTAATTTTAGTGTAAGGTGTCAGGAAGGGGTCCAGTTTCTGCTTTCTGCACATGGCTAGCCAGTTTTCCCAACACCATTTATTAAACAGGGAATCCTTTCCCCATTGCTTGTTTTTGTCAGGTTTATCAAAGATTGTGTGGTTGTAGATATGTTGTGTTGCCTCTGATGCCTCTGTTTTGTTCCATTGGTCTATGTCTCTGTTTTGGTACCAGTACCATGCTGTTTTGATGACTGTAGCCTTGTAGTATAGTTTGAAATCTGGTAGTGTGATGCCTCCTGCTGTGTTCTTTTTACTTAGAATTGACTTGGCTATGCGAGCTCTCTTTTGGTTCCATATGAAGTTCATGGTGTTTTTTTCCAGTTCTGTGAAGAAAGTCAATGGTAGCTTGATGGGCATAGCATTGATTCTGTAAAATTGAAATTAGAACTCCCATCTCTTCAGCTAAAGTGAAGGTCAACAGATATAAGTCAGCAGTCCCCAGCCTTTTTGGTACCAAGGATCAGTTTTATGCAAGATCATTTTTTCCATGGACTGGTGGTGGGTGAGGGATCATTCAAGGATATTACATTTATTGCACACTTTATTTCTGTTATGATTCCATGAGTTTGGACCAATGTGATATCATTGCCACAATCAAGGTACTAAATATAATCCATGACTTTGAAAAATTTCCTCGTGTTCTTATGTGTGTATATTTGGTGTGTGTGTGTGTGTGTGTTTGTGTGTTTATGTGTATCTGTTAAGAACACTTAAGATCTATTCAAGAACAGAAAATCAAACACCGTGTGTTCTCACTCATAGGCGGGTGTTGAACAATGAGACCACATGGACACAGGGAGGGGATCATCACACACTGGGGTCTGTTCAGGGGGGCCAATAAAATAATGATAGAACTCGCCATAATGGAGAATCAGTGGGAGCCCTGAGCTTGTTTTCCTGCAACTAGATGGTCTCATCTGGGATTCATGAGAGACAGTAACAAATCATCAAGCATTAAGTTCTCATAAGGAGTGCGAACCTAGACCCCTCGCATGCGCAGTTCACCATGGGGCTCACTCCTATGAAAATCTAATGTTGCTGACCTGACAGGAGGTGGAGCTCAGGCAGTAATGCAAGCCCTGGGAAATGGTAGTAAATACAGATGAAGCTTCCTAGCTCACCAGCCACCACTCACTTCCTGTTGTGCAGCCTGGTTCCTAACAGGCCAGGAACTGGTACTGGTCCCTGACACCAGGAACTGGGGACCTCTGATATAAGTGAAAGATATTAATGGTTTGACACTGTGCCTAACACGTTAGAATTAATAAATTCTGTTGAATGGAATTGGAAAGGCACTTAATAAGAGCTTACAATACTGGTTTCACAACTCAAAACCTTCATGTATCTTCTGTATGCTTAACTTTTAAAAATATAATTCTAGAGAAATCATATGGATTATACCACATACTTGGCAAAGATGAGAAACTCCTATAAAAGATATGGTCAACAAATCTGTTTAAGAGCAGCAAGAGACAAGTTCAGATTTTCAATGATTAATAAATAAAGTTTGATTGAGGCTATGCTTTCCTATTATACCTCATATTGAATTTATACTGCATCATGAACATCTTCATGGGGCCTATGTGTATAACTACATGTAACCTTGTTGTAACAGAAAAATATATTTGAGTCACTAAAAAGTATACTTAAGGTATACTTAAATATGACTTTTGGATGGCAACTTTCTGGAGAAATTCGGAACTCTGTAAATATGGTAAGTAGAGTCATGCTTTATTAACTTAATACAGTTAGTAATAATATATCTGAAAGAAGCAACTTCCAATTTTGAACTGGATATAGCTTGGCTAATTGCCAAATTCTAGCTAATGTTCAGAAGCAAAAATAATACGTACCAAACAAATTATTTAATAAAACATAATCTTTATATTGTTTCAATTTTATTTTTCATCATTTTATGTACATATATTTTGATTTATGAAAAATTTTCCGAGGGAATACTTTCATCAAAGAATGAATATGGCATAGGCCAAAAATTGTCAACCTTAACAATAAATATTTCAAAATAAGGATATTTTATCAGTATGTTTATAACTTTGCTTCTGTAACTACTGGGCAGAATTAAATATTCAGAAGAGATTGCAAAATTTATCTACATAATATTCTTAATATTAACTATAGCCATGATTTATCTAAAGTAAATAGTCTTAATTCATTATGTATAACAGCTATTAGGTAAACATGAAACTTATATTTAAAAAATAATCATATTTGTCCCTTTGTGACTGGCTTAATTCACTTAATGATTCCACATATATGTGGTATCTAAAAGAGTGAAACTCATGAAAGTATAGAACAGATGATGGTTGCTGGGGGCTCAATGGGTATAAAGTTTTAATAATGCAAGATTAATAAGTTCTAGAGGTCTGCTGTATAAGACAGTTCCTATTGATAGCAAAAAAGTATCATGAACTTTATTATGTGAAAAGAATAGATCTTTTTTTTATTGTACTTTAGGTTCTGGGGTACATGTGCAGATCATGCAGGATTGTTGCATAGGTACACACATGGTAATGTGGTTTGCTGCTTCCACCCCCCCATCACCTACATCTGGCATTTCTTCCCATGTTATCCCTCCCCAACCTCCCCATTGACCCCATGCTGTTCCTCTCTTTGCCCCCCACCATAGACCTCAGTGTGTGATGCTCCCCTCCCTATGTCCATGTGTTCTCATTGTTCAATACCCGCCTATGAGTGAGAACATGAAGTGTTTTATTTTCTGTACTTGAATAGATCTTAAGTGTTCTTAACAGATACACACACACACACACACACACACACACACACACACTAAATATACACACATAAGAATACAAGGAAATTTTTCAAAGTGATGGATTATGTTTAGTACCTTGATTGTGGTGATGATATCACATTGGTCCAAACTCATCAAAATGTATACATTAAGTATGTTGAATATGTGCATTTTTTTGTATATCAAGTATACCTCAATAAAGCTTATAAAAAGAGAAAAGAAAAAATAATGATCAAAATGTACCTTAGTTTAGGGAACAATGTGAACTCTACAAAGAAAATAAAATGCATATGTTTAAAATAGAAGACTTTAAAATTCATCTCTTGTGCTTATGTTGGTGAAGATAATAATAGAAAAATTTATTGATCGTTAACCATAACTATGGTACATATTGTATGTAATAGGTTAAATCTATCATATATACTTAATAGCCATAATAATCCAACCACTAGAATAATACTATTACTTCTGTTTTACAAAAAAGTATACTGAGGGTTAAAAGAATTGTTCATAATGATTCAAATAATAATGTAAAAAGCTAGAATTTTAAGCCATTTATGCCAGTCTTCAAAGACAATATAGATATGAATTGTAGCTTTTGAATATTCCATTTATTTTAGGAGAGAAATAAATAAAACTATCTTAGAAGAGAAATACATATATTTCTCATCCACAATATATGTATGTGTTAGATACTTACATATGTGTGTGTGTGTGTGTGTGTGTGTATTAGAGATATCCACCAAAGAATCA